TTAAATCAAGTTTCATTTGCACACTTTCATGAGCTGTATTACGAACCATTATCTTCTATGGATATTTCGAATGGTTTGAATAAAAAATCGGCGACGCTTTTAAAAATACTCTTTTTCTATATGATAAACTAACCTATTGACTTCAAATATTACCATTGCTTTGAAAAATAATATGGCGTCTGTGTTAAGCCTAAGTAACAGTCTCGTATGAAAGCACACCGCTATGATTATTCATACCAGTGTAACTAAGGACGATAAGAAAAAGTACATTTAAAAACATAGGAAAAATAAAAATAAGCGATGAATGCGAGTATGTGAATGTGATGTGAGTTTGGGCATTGGTAGTGACGATCTTGCATCTCCTATTCTCCGGCATCTGTATTCACACCACACCACACCCACACCTACACCCATACCCCTCATATGTTGCATGTATTAGAGAAATATATGTTCATTTATAGTGATTTACAGTTTGCTAATCGTATCTTCCATCTTTTTTTTTCTATTGGTTTAGTTTATTTGTCTAAGTTTAAGCTGCTATCGAAGATAAACTTTTTTTTTTTTTATTATAAATTTCTCGACTATTTTTCGCATCGATCAATTATTGATGCGCTATTTTCGTTCAACAATTTTTTATTTTCTCGCTTTGATTAGCGCAGAATGTTTGTTTGTTTGCTTGTTAGTTTTTATACTGAAATGTTTATGTTCATTCGTAGAGAATTGAACAAAGAATCTTTTGGTAAAAAATTCAAGTCAAAGCCATGAACATGGACAATGATATTGATAAAATACTGAGAGGCTCATTTATTCTGAAACATATTATTTTAACTGTAATATGTACGAATCTTTATGACACTGAAATGGATAATCAATCATTTAAGTTTTGAGCTAAACAAATACGTTTGCTGTTAAAATCTTGGTATTTCTTAAAAATCTAATACAAATGATTAGTTCTATGAAGAAAATCACACTGAGATTAAAAAAAAGATAATTGATGTATTAGTCTTTTTTTTATAACGTCGTAATTTTTTCACGAATTTGTTGTGCATACCATTCATGATTGTTCATTGTTGCTAAAACACCTGTTTTTACAGATGTTTCATTGGTTGGTAAATATGATATTTTATTACCAAAAACATCAGTTAACATACCACCACCTGCCTTTAAAATGGCTTCTGGTGCACATGTATCCCAAAGGCTACAACCACGTGATGCATGTACATAAGCATGAACACGACGTTCAAGTACAAGTAAAACCTTGAATCAAAAATGATTCATTGTATATACAAATTTTAAAAAAAATTTACTTTATATCCACAACCTCCAGCTTGAAAAACTTCAGTTGGTTGACATGCATTTACAGCATCTATAACAGTTCTTGAACGATGAGATAAACTTCCAGCTATAATACGACCAACTAATGGTTTATTATTAAATATACATTTTCCATAAACACCAGAATTTACGATTCCCCATACACTACGTCCATGTTCATTGCCATCGACATAGAATGGTTGATGAATAATACCACCAATAGCATTACCTTGAGTAGCAAAACCAATTAATACAGTTACACCTTCCAATCTACCTTCAGTAAATTCTCGTGTTCCATCTAATGGATCAACCCATACAACAAGCTATAGAAGAAAAAAAAATCAAAACTTAATTGTACATATGGCATTACAAGAGCTTTTTTATTTGCATCTGGTCCCTTGTAAAAAGTATATATTGAGGTCAACTTCTCTAATATTATGTGTATTGATACTAATTGTACTAATGAAGGAACTTCCCGCATTGAGACCCTTGATTTGAGTTCATATTGGATTCATAAGAAAGTTTCGGTAGGACTAAAAATAATCTAGAAAAGCTTCTATCCATAGATCTTTGCAGCCGAACTATGATCGTTTTACTGAATTTTTTATCCAACTTAAGGTATTTACCGAAAAACTAAATAGTGGTATTCCGATCCGAAATTTTTCTCATAGTAGCAAGATCGCATGACTAGTAAAATATCCTTAAATTTTCAGCAGAAAACAATGCACCTTTGCAGAAAGATTGAATTTTCAAGTAAACTTGATTTGTGACCAAGGATCATCGTTTGGAAACTCAATATTATGACAAAGAAACATTATTTTTGGCTGAAACTTTCAACATATTCTCAGAGTCATCAGATCTATCTATGGGCAAAGCTTCATATCGAAATTCCCTTATTTGGTTTTTCGGTAAATAGCTAAAACTGGATCGAAAATTCAGTAAAATGGTCATAACTCAAATTCAACAGCCGATAGGCACGAACACTTTTAGGGTTTTTCTAGTCTGACTCAGACCTTCTTGTCAGTTCAATATAAATTCGAACAGTAGATATAAATTCGGGTAGTTTCCTCGCCAGAAAATATCACGTCGTAATTGAAAATTCACACATCATAGTTGAAGAGATGGTATATATATTAAACATTCAAATAGAGTGAATTTAAGGAATAATCGCCGAAACAAAACTCACGGACATAGATGATCGAAAAGTATTCAGTGATTTTCATTTTGATAAATATCATATTGATGATCTCTATTTTAGTAATGTTCGTTTTGGCGATGAAGTATACAACCATTGATGAAGGTTGATACTTTGAAAAACAATATTAGAACCAATCTTTGAATATTTCTCAAGAGGGCTGGCGAGAAAAAAAAGCTTTTGTAATGCCCCCATTGTATGGAGTGTTTCTTTTTTGTTTTATTATTATTTGTACATCTTTTTCTTGTAATTCTCGGAATTCATTTGGACATGATGCTTGTAACACTTCATGTAAATTCGTATCAATTAAATCATTAATATCGGATGTTTCAGAATTTTCAATTTTAATGTTCTAAACAAAAACAAAAATATTATTAAAAAAGAACATGTAGAAGACTTTTTACTTCTTCTCCACGAATAGTTAATTGTGGAAAATGTTTTGCTAATGATGAAACAATTAATTGTTGGGAAGCTCGATCAGCTATTGTTTGTGGATCATTAAATCCCTAATAAAATTTTTAATAATATAAGAAAATTAAGAAAAACAAAATGAAACAATAAAATAGGAAAAAACCTACAGTACTTTTTCAACAATATCAAGACTGCCAGACATTTGTACATCTTTTATTATTTGACCCGCTCGTTTCGCTAATGTTAATGATGCCGAAAGTACACGCATAAGTACTGGTAATGAATGACTTGCTGTCATAGTTATTTTTATTTAAAATCTATAAAGAACAAAAAATACGACAATATACATTTAAACACAATTTTATTTATTTCGTCGTTTTTCTTGAACGACGAGTTTTTGTTTTAGATTTAGTTGTCTGTTTTTTTCTAGGCATTTCATTATTATCGTCATCATCATCATCATCATGATGAGTATTCATATACATTAAATTATTATATTCATCATCGTTATCATCATCGTCATGCATGTATTCATCTTTAATTGAAGCTTTTGTTGTTGGACGATCAATCATTTCAGCTTTAGCTCGAATTCGACTTCGAGATTCACCAATTGATGATCGACGCTAATAAAAATTAAAATAATAAATTCATCTTTAAAAAAAAAATGATTTAAAACTAATAATTTACTTTTGTTATTGTTTCGGGTTCTGGTTCTGGTTCTGGTTCTGTTGGTTCATCGAGTTTTTCCATATCAAAATTTTTTTTTAACTGTTCAACAAAATTTGGTCGAATTGATGTAAATTCTTCTGGTAAATTATCAATACCACCATATGCTTCAATTAAACTATCTTTTGCTTTTGTATATAAATTATGTGTTTCTTCAGATATCTAAATTAATATATATATATAATAAATCAAATAAGTTAATATATATATATATATACCTTTACAAGTTTTTCATCAATATTTAAACGTGATGAAAGTAATACATCTGAACGCATATATTTACCAGATTTCATATAATTTATTTTAGTAAAAAATCGAGGACCCATCTAAAGAAAGAAACGATGAATAGCTGTAAAAAAACAAAAAAAGAAAACATCAAACCTCATGTCGTGTTGCACTAATAACAAAAGCATGTTCATTAATTAATTTACATAAAATAATTTTAGCATCCGATGGTATGATTGTTGAGGATTCCATTTGATCAAGAAAAGAATTCCATATATCTATAGTTAATCGAACCTTTTAAGAAAGAAAAAAAATTTCTCAAACAAAAAACAATTAGCTATGAATAATATTACTTTAACTTTTGGTTCTTCTATTTGATACATATATATTGTAAATAAACAATAGAGTGCACCGAGTTGTATAGGTAACCGCCATGGTTCGCCGAGATAAGCAGCAGCTACTGTCATTGAATCATCAAGAAACTAAAAGAAAAAAACAAACGTAGACTATGATATATATTCGAAAAAAAGTACAAACAAATCGAAATGAATTCGGTTGAATATCTGCAGCTCTAAATTATGAAAGAGAAGAGATAGTATGGATAAATAAGATAATAAAATAAGTACTTAAAAAGTAATTCAAGTTTATGTTTTCGCCATACAAGTGCAAATGATTGATAATCATGACTAGACTCGTGTTCAAAATCATGTAAAAGAGAATCGAAATCCGATGAAATCGGGGGTAAAAAATTATATGTGTAATATGCTGCCATTAATATTTTTCGATGCAGTACAAAGTTATCTTTTCTTTTTCTTTTTTTCGTCAGCAGTAGCAACAAATATGAACGATGATTCATTCTCAATATTTTATTAGTTTCGAATAATCTATTCTGGTTTAAGCATAAGAAAGATGTCACTGGATATAAAACCTCACATTTATAATTTGTAGATTTAATTTTTCGAATTTAATCAATATAAATGGATTATACAATTTACAAATATAATTCGAACATTAAAGAGTGTATGTTCATAAATTTCTCGATTATATAAAGACATCATATCTCGTCGTTAATTAAATGCAACTCTAAGTCTATAATCATGCTGTCAGTTTTTCAGAAGTGATGAATAAAATGGATGTCGTTAGGTTAGTTAGTTATCATGCATCTAGCCATAATTAGAGCCAAGAGGGAAACAGTAGAGACAGCAGTCTTGAAACCTCTTGAAGTCTTATTAAGTACCACGAAGTTTTGAAAATCTTTTGAAGTACAGTGAAGTCTGCTGTTTCTCCTCGAATTAGGTACTGTTTAATAGTGTGTATGGCCTATACAAGACTGCCATGTGTCTCAAATTTCAAACGAGGTATACAAATTTTAAATAATGCAAAAGACCACAAGAAAAAAATTAATGAAATAAGAGAATTTTTTGTGTGAAAAGCCGTGTTTGATAATTTTTTTCATAAAAAGAACGATCCTTAATTTTTTGTGGAGTATAAAAGTTTGAAATAGAGAACTGTACCCAAGATGTGATACATATGGCAACCCTGCATCTATACTTGTTGATTAGTTCTTACATCATTTAGAAAGCGATAATAGGTGTTTCCAGACAGTTCATATAAGATTTTGATTTAATATCGCACAACATTTGCAGCAAATTCGAATAATGCATCGAAACAACAAGTTCTTTAATCACATCAAAATGAACACCTAGTTGGGTTTTCATTGTATTTATTCACTTTTTGACTTTATATCAATTTTTAGCTTTTAGACTTTCATTATAAATGCCAGTTACACATCACTAGTGGGTCAAATCATATTTTGTAAAACGATATGTAACTCTTGTCGACGCCAGAAATCGAAAAGAAAAACTCTAGGACAAATATCTCGAGAATGGAGGTAGATAGAGACCTGCGATTTTCACCATTGAAAAGAGCAATGTCGGAAGTATCGATCGGTATAAGATTCATTAGGTTCGGAGAATTCTTTCATGGATTCTTTTGGATTGATATTTTTTTCGTTGCCTTTTTTCATCATTCTTCAGAGGAATTTTCAACACCAATTGTACGAAAATGGAGCTCCAAACACTATATATATTTCTTTAAAAATTATTACGTTTTTTAAAAACCTCATTAAAGAATAAAGTTGAAAAGATGATAAAAAATTGGAGAAATTTTATCATGAACACAGAATGTTCGAAGCTACATTTTGGTACAATTGGTGTCAGAATTTCTCTGAAAAATGATGAAAAAAGACAACGAAAAAACTATCAGCCCAAAAGCATCCATGAAAGAACTATCCGAATCTAATGAATCTCGAACCGATCGATAGCTCCCGATATTGCTTTTTTCAATGGTGAAAACCGCAAGTCTCTATCTATCTTCATTCTCGAGATATTCGTCCTACAGTTTTCCTTTTCTATTTCTGGTGTCGATAATAGTAAAAAGCGATTAATCGACGACAGTGATGGGATCGGTTCGTGTTTTTTTGGAACCGAACCGAAAAAATCGCAAACCGAACCGAATCGAACCGATTTGAAAATTAAGGAGATAAAGAAGGTTTATCATCTTTTATTTTTTTCTAAGAATATTCCCCTAAAAACATTTATTGAAGATATGCTTAAAACGTCATTGATAATTCTAGAAACGAACTATAAATTTGTGCTAGAAATAATGCTAAGAACATGGAGATTTTCGTTTTCAGAATAAAAGAAATTTCCGATGATAGAAGACTAGTTTATTTTCAGTGGTCAGTCAATTTTTTCCGCTAATCAAGGGCCGTCCAGGGTATTTTTTGTCGTCATTCAGTGCAAAGGTAGAGGGACTACATTTTATATGATGCACTCAATATAATAGAAGAATATTAATTAATACTTTATAATAATTATTAACTACCNNACGCAAATTTGCCAATCGCTTTGTAATACAGACAGATCCCTAAAACCTATTACCAATAAACATTTCATCCATTTCTGTCTAATCATAGTTGAGTTATTCACTAACTATTGACCGTTACGGAATAACAGCAAGTTCTTCTGAAAATATTTAGTATTTGATTGAAAAACCTTCGATTATTAGTTAAGAAAAAAAAAACTGAACTTCTCTGATTTATATCGAATAATGTCAGGTAAACGATTAGAAATTGTTTTTCTTTTAATAGTTATCTTGAATATATTAAAATAAAAATATATTTAGTTCGGAAAAAGTCAATGCAGATGTTGAATATCGTCATCGTATTGAATGTGATCGAATTCGTCAAGATTTAACAGATGAGTCACGTGATATTGAAAATGAATTAAAACAAGCACGTTTACAAATTGATTCTCTTAAAACTTTCAAAGTTCGATTCGATCAAACAGAAGAAAAAAATCAACAGTAAAATCAATAAAATTTTATTTATAATCTAGCAAAAAAAAACTAACAAATCTTTCTTTAGATTACATAATGAAATAAAACGTTTAAAAGATGATATAAAACGCTTACAAGATGAAATCGAACGTAATGAATCTGTTATTCAACATTATAAAACTCAAATTACCATATTAGAACGAAAGTCTCCTACTAATGGTGCGAACATTTTGTGATATATTTTCATCGAATGATATTATTTTCATTATTTCAGATAAGGATACAAGTGAAGTTTCAATTCGAAGAAGTGAATTATCACAATTATTACAAGAAATGCGTCTTCTTCGTCGAGATCTTGAACGAAGTGTAGAAAAACAAAAAGAATTACAAGCAAAACTAGACGATAATATTCGTCATTCACGATCACCACGTTCATTTACATTTTCTGGTCGTGGAGTTTCATATCCTGATCTTCGTATACTTGATTCATCTGGTTTAGTTGGTGCTGAGAATTTATCATCAGGAGCTATGATTGATGAACAACGTTCAAGACCTATAGGTTCATCTACAATTGAACTTGAAAATATTGAATATTCTCAACAACCTAATGAAGAAACTGTGCCAAGAGGTATGTCAAATGGGAGTGTTTTTTGTTTAGAAAGTTGTACATAGAAGTATTTTGTTTCAATTTAAGTTTCTGTACGACCATATATAGTTGGTGAATTAAAAATTCATGATGATCTTCGTCGATTAATACAAGATATTAAATTTGACTTAAAAGCAATCGTACCTGAATTAAAAGACCAACTTCGTTCAAAAACTGTACGTATTTTGAATACAAAAGCAAAGGAAAGATAAAGATAATTTTTCATAAGAGTAAAAAAAACATATCACCGTGATTTGAACAAAACAAAAAAAAATCATGTAATTGTTCTGTAAATCTCAATATTTATTTCTATATCGTAAAAAAGAATTAGCGCAAAAATCCGACTTTTCTTTGAATACGATAAAACTGTATGATTTATTTTTGAAATAGTTTCCATAGTAAATCAATAACTCAGCAAAAATTATCGAACTGAATTTGTGCCAAACACAAATCACGTACTCATAGTATAGATTAGATATGCATCAAATCCGAATGGTCGAGTTCGGTTTTGGATGCGATTATTTTTAGTCAATGAATAAGAGGAAGTAAAAGTAATCGAAAAGAAAGGAACTCTAGCTTGAATATAGTAGATCTATACACAGTAGAATAAATGATACAAGAGTCAAAGGTCTGCTGACATCCTAAAAACAAAGTCAACAACGTTTAGAAATATTATAACCTGAACTTAATCAAACATTAGGATGGTTCCATGATTGTCCATATACCTCAAGATATGTTCGAACAATTATCCGGTATCGTCTGAATCGGTTGAGTAGTTTTTGAACCCAAAGGCCAAGTCAAAACTCAGATTCAGTGCTTGCCTAGTATAGATCAAGTGCCTGAAGAAAATAAAAGAATTATGTGTTGATAGAATATGGTATTTGACAGATTGTATCTATTTATCATCTAATCCTTGCCAACAGAATTTTTGTTTTCGAGAGGAGAAAGACTTTTTTTTTTTTTTAGTGTTGAGATTTCTGGAAGAATACAAATTTCTGAATAACGACTCGGTAGAAATATTTGAAGCTTTCAGAATACATAGATTTCGATGAGTAGAGAAAAATTTGTTATAGACTTAAAATTCCTAAATACTTCCTTCTACGAAATATTTGAGTCGAAAAGAATTAATACCGTTCCTCTAATCGCTCCGATTTCTCAGCCGCAATAAGTTCGATAGGAGCTAGAAGTTTTTTGTTTTTTATAGATTCTAGACACTGTTTGGAATGCCTACTGTTTTCGATTTTCTTTTATTTCCTTCCATTCAAATAAAAAGATCAAAATACTGAGTGTACCTCGAAAAGCACATATTTGTTTACACCAACTCGTACTATGTGGGAGAAACAGAAGTGATTCTGCATTCTGTTTGTGTAAAAATTGATTTTGAAGAAAACGAAAAACAAACTTTCATTTATATGTATATCAAACACTTTTTGTTCTTCCACTAGAGTCATCGAAAACTAACCGTATTCAGAGATGTTAGAGGTTCATGATCCATACTCTCAGCATCTTTAGAAATTAGCATTCGGAGAATTTTGCAGACAAAGAAAAATCATAGCGTGAATTTTTCTTCTACGGATTTCGAGAGTTGAATTTAATCAAAGTACTAACTAACGACGAAGAATCCTCATATATATGACATTTGACTGAGAATACTTCACAGCTTTACCAAAAATCGAAAAAAAAAGTAAATTTTAACACCTGAAAAGCAGAAAGGATAACTTCATTAATATGATTTTAAATAAATATAAATTTTCATCATTCCTATTTTCTTTACTAACAACGAACTCCTTTTAATTCATCCATGACCTATAATCTGATATTAAAATATGATTAGATGGAAATCAAACATTCCGAAGATATAGACAAGAGTTTATGTAGTTCGAAATTTTTGCACTGGGATCAAATTTACTTCATTAAAATACAGAGCTTTATTTCGATGAATAGTTAGTCCGCGTCGTACTTCCTAGCATCATGTCGTCCTGTTGAGTACTACACCATTTTGATGAGCACGATGTTTTAATAAATATACATACCCGATTTAACATTCCTATATAACCCCAAGTTTATGTCAATGGTAAACTATACATTTATTATTTTTTCTTCATTAACATTCTTTCATCATTCATCCATAATTATTGAAGTGAAGACAATTTGAAATTGAAGAAATCTGCAAAACCATGAAAATGAATACTTATACAAAAACAGAATATGATTCGGTTTATTCTATTTTAAATATAGTATAAAGTATGTTTAATATTTTTGTTTTTGTTTTTCTATTAGAGTTCATCAACAAGATCATTTGAAGAACGTTTAAATCAACTTGATGAACGTTTGACCCATGCTCTTGATTTAATTGAAACATATTGGAAAGCTGATTTACCAGAAAAAAATCAATATAATGAACATATATTTATTGATGATCGTCTCATGGAAGAAGTAATTTTATTTCATTTTGTTTGGGTTTTCTTGAAATTCATATTTATATTATTTATTTTGTTTTTGTTTTAGAATAAACGTCTTTTATTTAATCAAAGAAAATATATTCAAGATATTCAATTTTTAAAACAAAAATATCGAGAACAATCAAATTATTTAGAACAACTACTCGCTCAATTAACAGTAAGTTATCGAAACAAAAAAAAAGAAACGATTGTTTGTTTTTTGTTTTGCCTCGTGTTTTTTGGATTTTTGATTCCCTAATATATGAGGAGAATAATCAATATATCCGTTTTCCTTATTTAATATCAATTATTGCAGAAAGTGAATCGCAAAAAAGCTGATACAGGCGAATATTTGGCATTGTTACGTAAGTTTTTTTTCAGTTTTGTTTGTTTGTAAACATATATCAAAATTATTCACCATACAAATAATTAAATTCACTTATATTAGTTTACTAAATATATTTGTGTAGTTTATTGTAGTATTTATGAATTATTCTTATTTGCTTTTAACTATTTTATTGTTTTGCATGCATGTGTGTATTTTTTAGCTTATTGATTCTGATGAATTTACCTCACCTTTTCTTTTTTTTTAATATTTTGATAATTATTGTTTATTGAAACAAACTTCCTTTATTTTTCCAATAAGAAAATGAACTATAAACCAAAAAGTATTTTAATATAAAATGAGATATGAACTTTATGACATGAAACTATTTTTAGCAAATTTTACTTGATAGTCTATAAAGGATATGAAAGTTTATGACCCATTATTATATAGCTAAATTACATCACTGTTGATAGTTAAATATGAGAAAAACGAAAAGCTATTAAGGACTTTTTCAAAAAGAAAAGGAATACCGATCAGTTGTAATTATAATGAGAAATTTGATTCAGACTAACTTTCATCCAGAATCAATTTTTAAGTGTACTTCATGACATTTTTCACAAATATTGAGTAATTACATAAAAATAAAATTACAAATACTGTTTTTTATGTCATCGTATCTCAATGGCTTAGGAGTATTCTTAAGATCAAGGCCTTTGACAGATCCTTGACTTGTAGAAATTCTTTTCCACTGTACTTCAAAGTGCAAAGCCGAAGATTGTTTTATTTGAAAAAGAATTAATTACTTCTTCAAATGAAGGGAAGAAATTTTTTTATTGTTGCTATCTTTAATTTTGAGAACTGTCAAAATGTCAAAAATCTGGAATTACCATAAAAAATGTATGAGATATATAATCTTTTCTATATAACTACAGACTTATTAAACCGTACCTTCTCATTATCCGAAGGAGCATTAAGTGCTGCAATTCATTTAAAAAAACAATGCGTAGTTCTCTAGAACCAAGCACATTCAAAAAGAATTTCATCGGAGGATCATAGTTGACAAAAAAACACTCTTTTCTACGTTTTATACCTATCATTGGACACCGATATGAAATTTATCGATTTCATAGTTGCATGACGAAGATAAATCAAGCCTCTTAGGCCTATGCTACTAGAAAAACACACAGTTCATAGAACATAGATTTACTAGTTGTTTCCCTTCGGCTATTGCCGAGACTCACTAGAGAATATAACCCTACAAGACGTAATAAAGTTTTCTTAATATATTTTCAAAATCTTTCAAATTTGAAAATGTTTTTTTTTCAGTTACGATTTACAGCATACAGCTCAGATGTTATGCTTGTATGTTAATATTATAAATCATATTGCATTTTGTTTTTAATGAAAATGGACTTTTTCGAAAGTAGGATGGTAGCCTTGATACTGTTGTTGTTGAATTGGAGCATAAAAATGTCTATCAAAACGTAGGAGGTACAGTGCCTAAGATAATCAAGATGTAAACGTTGTCAGCAACTTTGACTATCTTGCATGTTGATAGATAAGATGTTAACCATCTTCGAATTACAGAAGAATAGGCTTTTCCCAAGATAGAAACAAATACAATTTTATGATGCATTTCATAATAGAATATTAATCAAAACAAAAAAAAGAACTAAGACAAATGTGATATTAGTTTATGATAAATAAATGTATATCGAGCCTTTTTTTCTTCTATTTTAGTCAAGCCAACATTAGATGTTCTTCAAAAAGCTCGTTCAAATATCGAACATCATTTAAAAGACTCAAATACGAATAATATACCACCAGGTAGTGCTCAAACACATCGTCGTCATCGTTCTAATCGTAAAGATTAGATTAATTATGTTGGCTTTTATAGAAAGTTTTTTTTGTGCCTTTTTTTTTAAATTTTTCTTTAAATATTTCTTTTTTTTTTGTGTCTGTTTGTTTGCTTGTCAGTGTCTCAGGATTTCCAATTTTAGAATCGATTAATATTCTTTTGTTCAAAAATTAAATAATATCGTTTTTCTATTATAAAATATAATTTAATTAAAATAATTATGATCAAAATATAAATTAATTGAATCATTGAAAATAGTTTTATGTTTTCTAGAATGTTGTTTTTATTAGTGGAAGATTTTTTATTAAGATATAAAATCGTTAAAAATATTTGCTATATAACCTTGAATCATTTGTAATGTTTCATATTTTGATAAATGTTTTTCTTATTAGAACATTGATAATGATAAAAACACTATGAAACCAATCATATTCTCTATTAGATTCATTTACAAAACGTAATTTATGGATATTAGTTGCTAAATGATATGGGTTTTGTTTTTTCAATTTGAGTTAACGACAATGTTGACTTTTTAATAATAAATGAGGGTTTTTTTACGGACTAATTTTTACATATTTTCTTGTGTTTCTCAATGTTGAAATTTTAAAACAGGAAAAAATCTTTTCGAATTATTACTATGAATATAATTGACTACGTCATAAAAAGAATAGATTGAAAGTGATAGACTTAATAACACATGGTTTTTGCTAGATTATAATGATACAACTCTTTGTTATCCAAAAAGAATACAATGCATACATTCCATAATAGGAAACTGTCAAATATCGAACCAAGAATGATGATTGTTCTTCATTGATTGCACAGCAGGAAACACACTTAGTGCCTTTTTTGTTGTGAAGTTGTCCTTAGTTGGATAGCTTATTATACAATCATATAATTCTTTCCACTCGAGTCTTTTGTTCTTCTCTGTAATTTTGATACGATCATTTGCAATATCATTCTCTCCAAGGTAAAGATCATTAGTTTTTTATTTGAGTAATGCTGATCTTTTTCTGATAACAATTTTTTTTTACGTACATTATAATTTGATCATTAATCAGTTAGTTAACATATTTTTGCTGTTTGTCACTATCTATTTGACCAATTGTTTGCTGATAGAATATAAAAATAAAGTATACCATAATTAATAAGATCGTCAGATAGTTTTTGATGTAATTTATGTCTATGTATAGTTCTCAAACTAAGGTTTCTTTCTATAAATGACTTTTTTGAGAATGAACATAAAGAAATGGATAAAATCTGATTTTTCTACAACTTCTGAAATCAAAGAATAAAGCTATACTATTCAATAATATCTATCTTTCATATTTTCTTAGATTTATACAACATCTCTTAGTTAAAAAGAATTACGTAACAAAACTTTAAAGTTACAAGTACAAAAGAAGCATTGGAGTAGCAAATATAGAAAAGAAAAAAAAGACAGTTGTGCATAGCGTGAATTTTTCTTTTTCTAATTTTCATCATATCCTAAATTGAATCAAGAATATTATTAAAATGATATTTTTCTTCCGTTAAATTTCTACTTTCAACCTTCGTCATGTGTAACACATACATACACAAGCCTATATTTATGGTTAAATAGTTATTATTAGCTTCTAAGAAAATTATTTATTTATGTCACGGATTATCTCTGTCATATTCCGTCGTAGGTTTTTTGGGTATTTTTGCAATGTTCTTTTTAGTTGTTCTTTTTGCTTTCATTATACAAGTGAAAATAATTTTCTAATATTTTCTTTATAATCAAGGATTAGTTCTAATAATTATTCAATCAATTGAATCATTATTGCTTTAAATGAATCATAAAAAATGGCATATCTAGAGTATTTTATCAAGCAGAAATGTTCAGATGTATGTATATGCATCCGAGTCACGAGTTCTTATTTCGTCGTTTCAACACAAGAAAAAAGAATTCAGATGAAGCCAATCGTTCTAATGGTTTAACAAGAACAGTTAATTGCTTAATAGGAAACACAATGATAATCTTTAGAAGATACATGCAAAAAAGAAAACTAGATTTAAAGTTTATCATTTACATTATAGTTTTATAGCTGATTTCTATCTTAAGATTTACGACCTGTCAGTGTTGATTCTTTTTTCTTTATTAATAATCATATCAATAAATACACTCTCTGGACTTTTTCTTGATAAGAGTGCAAAAAAAGAAAAATACAGAAAGAAGACCCTGGTAGGCAAAAAAGAAAGATCAGCATCTGTAAGATGATAATGATGAAGGCCACACTATTGATATTTCCTAATGGAACAATGCTGCCATTATGATATCAGGACATTATCTAAATTATCAACGACAAATATAATTGCAGCACGGTAATTAAACATTGATTTGAAGTTTTGTTTTTTTCCTATTTAAAATTAAAAACATAGATACTATAATTACTATTCATGTGTCTTTACCTTATATGATTAACGGATGTTCACCTACTTACTGTAGAAGAACTAAATGTATTCCATTAAGTAATAAATTACTAATGGATGAACAACAGTTACATAAATGAAATAAAGGCGACATGCAGTCTGTCTACGATGCAAAACATAGAAAAGAAATTAGAATATAAAAAAAAGAAAAAAAAACAGGTTTCTGTCTTAATGAATATTTAACACTGATTAAAGATATATTGATGATTCATTGAGAAGCAAAAAAACACATCATGTTAATAAAAATTAAAAAGAAACCTTTCAACCTCGATAATCAATATTTCTTAATAAAACATTAATATAGATAAAATTATTTATTAAGTGTAGAATAATATAAAATTTATAAGGTCTTTTTACGTCATATTATTTTGCAACATTAAAAATGATAAGTAGAAGAATAATTTATTAAACATTTACGTAAGTGTTCTGTTGGATCTACTATAATTTTTATATTTAATTAAAATTTCATTATTGAGGACAATAATAGACTTGAAATTATTCAGATATTTTTTTATTTTTGTTTTAAATAAAGCATATAACAAAATACTTCGAATGAAAACTATAAAATGTCTAGAGAGAAAAAATAATGACTATACTCTATGTTCTTCAATGTTTTTTTTTTTATAAATGCGCATAAATGACAAAAGAAAAGGTCGAGTACATACTTTTATTTTTGGAATCAATAATAATTTCAAAGCAATTTGTCATAAGTTTCATAAATAATGGTCGAAGTATGTGAATAAATCACAAGTATACCAAGTACGGAAAAGTTTTGCTACATTCTTCCTTTTTGGAAATGTTCAAGTAAACAAAGAATATCTGATTTGAACTTTTCTATTTTAAGATATACAATTTAATTGTCTACAAACTCTGATTACTTTTAATAAAAAAAATGTCAGATTCCACTAGGAGATATAATGAATAAGGTATATGTCAGAAATATTTTTTTGTAACATATTTGTTGTTTGAAGCAATATTTAATTGCAAAAAGAAAAGAATATAAAGCTAAGTAACATAGTAAAACCATTATCAAGTAAGTATAATAAGATGTTAATTTTAACACACATTGTTTTGATGCGATTGTAAACCACATTTTAAGTAAAGTGACGTTTTCTTTATTGAGTTACTCGTTTTCAAAATAACTATTCCATGAATATATAATGTTCATTGTTATAGAATTTTCTAGAGACTTAATTTGTCTTTCTACGTAAAGTTCTAATAACACTGTTCAAATCGAATTAGCTAAAAAAAGTTCGAAAATTACATTTGTTGTTTGATGCTTTGACAGACGATTTCTCAATATATATTATTATCAAATATTTGTATATGAACCTGAAAATACATTTGATGTGAAGTTCAATGACTATTGTCAAACCTCTTGGGTATTTTCTTCACATTTTAAAAGAACTTTGAAAAAACGAAAAAAAAAAATATTTTTCTAATTTTTTTTGTTTGATTATTAAAAGTTCATGAGAGTATGTTGATACTTAAAGTGTGTATATTCTAACAAGAAAGTTCGAATATTGCAAAACTTTTGTTCTATATAATAATGTACTGAAAATAGTTGTATTTTATTAAGAACTTGATTTTATCATTATCACATTAGGTTTTTTATCGTTTTTTTTTTTGTACTAGAATAGCGCTACAAATCTTTCATTAACACATTATTAACAAAGGGTCATTAGAATAATTATTAGTAGGAATATTTTCAAAATCATGTCAAAGAAAAGAAGAGCAAATAAAATCGTCAAGTTAAAATATTTGAGAACGTTATCTACAGCACAAATCATGTATCAATAGAAAATAAAAAAGTCATTATGTTCATATTTTCCTCTTCATAATGCATGACATAGAAAAATCAAATATTAGTGATTCTTGTAGTGTTCGTATAAAGGGAATAGGGTTCAGTGTAGAATAGTCACAGTACATGACTTCTTAACTTCCTATCTTTTGTAGACTAGCATGTGTTCATCATATAGGATTTGTTTCTTTCTGTCATTAACAATTACTTTATTTCTTTTTCTAATATTCTCGTACATCCATCGAATACATCTATCAAGAAAAAAGAAAAAGAAACTAAGATAAAAACACTTCATATAATATTATTAACGTTCTTTTTATGCAATAGTATCTTTATTATTACAAATAATAATTTGGTACTGAATGAAGTATAATCTTAATAGGTAAGATAAAGAAAACTGATGGATTAATTGATGAAAAGAAAACAATTAATAAAAATGAATCTTTATTATAATAGATAAGGGAAAAAATGACGATTTTAATGACTGATTATTAATTCATAAAGAAAGAAAACAGAGAAGGGAATTATAATATAAAGGTACAATATAAATCATTCAAGAAGAGAATTTTAGTTACACTTTTTTCTCTCTTTCTCTATAGATCCATTTTTTCTTTGTAAACTAAGTAAACCGTTTATTAATTAGACAATAATTGCGTAGGAAAAAGAAATTACTAAAATCGATATACACATAAGTATGTATATATATCAACTCTATATATAAAATAAACATCAAGATCAGATCAAAATAACAGACATAGATACATAGAAGAAATATACTTTTTTTTTTCTATATTCTAGACTTTTTGTTTATATATTATATTAATGAGGATAAACTTTTTGCCTTCTTAACGCTATACATAATAATAATAATAATAATAATGACAATATAAGGACTGATAATAGAAAATCAATTATTGAGGTATGCATAGAATTCTTTGTTTTTCTTTCTCTAACATAATTGTTATCTAAACAAACAAAATATATTCTCACATGTTCATTTACCGAATTTAATTTATCTTCAAGGACTAACAATAAGGATGTTCTTTTAAATTGCTAATATATTCTATAGTATTCTTAGAATAAATAACAAAAGATGTATCTAATCAATTCTAGTAACGTTTTGTATTTCTCTTAGAATATTCAAATCATTGAACTTTTATGAGGTACATGTCTTGTGATATAAGTGATTATAAAAATGAATGGAGTTTGATTAGAACGTATATAAATCAAAAAACAATTTACATTAGTGTCACAGTTGTTAAGTTGCCTATCAATTAGTTAGAATTTCTTTTCTTATAAACAGCTGTTAGATTCTATAGCATTTAAAAAGACGTAAGAATGGACACACTAATTTCGTATGCTAGACATGTAATGTAGTAAGCATTTATAGTAATATATTGCTCTAGAAGGTCTTTTCTTCCGTTGAAATAAACATTTAGATAAGTAAATTTTGTTAAATTTTCTTCTCGTGTGTCTTTTAAAATTGAATTACATTCTTATATTCATAGACTTAATATGATAAATCTAAAGTAATTTACTATTATTAAATAAATAAAAAACGATCTCTCTTTTTTCTTAAACATGATGAAGTGAAGTATAACAAAAGAAAAAAAAAGAATTTGAAATCATATAAAATAATTATTGTTTAGAACTTTAAAATTTTTTTGATTGGTGAAAGCAAAAAGAGAAGGAAAACGGAAGTAAAAGATACAAAGAAACGTTCTTTTTCTTTTTTAGTTCTTAAGATGCGTATCGTGCATCCAGCAGTTTTCTATTCACAGTGACGCTAGTCTTTACGTCTATCATTTTATCTATCTTTACACGGTCATCGTCATCATCATCACACAAGTCGCCTGTAGTTGATGTAAATATGACATTGTCATCAAAACTTCAATTAGCATATAATATTACTATTGCATTAACGGGTCTCGTCGGTAATACCACTACAATTATTGTTTTTTCTCAAAGACGTTTACGTTCATTACGTTCATCATTCTTTCTTACTTGTCTTGCTATAACTGATCTCATATTTATACTTATACTTGTTATAGCTTTACTTGATGAATTACATGTACCAGTTATGACTGCACCTATTTGTATGTTAACAATTTATTTAAGTCATATAGCATCATTCTTATCATCCAATTTTACATTAGCTTATACAAGTCATCGTCTTATAGCTGTTTTTTTTCCAATAAAAGCAACAACTTTTTTAAAACAACGGACAAATCGTATATTAGCATTAACATTATCAATATTTGCATGTGTATTTTATTCATTATCATTTCCTGTAACATCAACAAAATTTCGTTCAAATTCAACAAATATTGTTCTTTGTGAAGAAGATCGAAGTAAACCATTATTATTTCCATTTCTTGTTTTGGATACATTATTTACATTTATTATACCATTTTCATGTATAACATGCATGAATTTAGCGATTGTTTATAAACTTCATTCAAAATTTACATATAAAATAAAATTACCTATATCAAGAACACCAACACCAGCTATATCTCCATCACGCAAGTCATCAAGTAATTCATCAGGACAATCAATTTCGGATGCCGTTCCACTATCTCAATTGAGTAATGGCAATATTAGTAATAATACAAATACAAATGGTAGTCCTAATCCTAATAATAATTATGGTGAAACAAATCATCTTTTACAACAACAAAATAGTTCTCTATTATGTGTTAGACCGTTAGAACGACAAAAAAGAACCAGAAGTAATCCGTCGATCACATCTAATTCGCCAACAAGATCTGTTACATTATATCAGAGAAATACATCAATTGGAATACGTTCGACTCAATGCCGAACAACAGCATCAGCTAAAACAACAAAAATGCTTTTAGCTGCATCAACTGTGTTTCTTGTTTTTAATTTACCTTATCATTTATTATTATTCTGCTTCTTATTTATTCAAAAGGAACCACCATGGATGCTCAGTGCAGTTAACGTGGCTCGTCTTTGGTTTTTTGCATCATTTTGCGTAAATTTCTTTGTCTATGTCATATGTGGTCAACGTTTTCGTAGTGAAGTTGTTCGTCTATTTAGTTGTACATTTCTTCGAGGACACTTTATATCAAGTCAACAAGCAAAAATTCAAGATCGTCAAAGTAGCATTTATTTAGGTCATCGTTTAATAAGAATTTCATCAACACATCTATCTCATTAACACTACACACTTGACTGTAGGATTCATGTTCATTTTACTAAATCATATCTTTTATGTTTTCTGTCGGATATATGCTTTTCTTCTTTTATATTCCTATTGTCCTGTTATTGTTTCTTTAATTGTGTAAACAAAAAAAAATAATACATTAATAATTATTCTTTGCTTTTTGTCTTAAAGAAGAAAAAAAAAAGGAAATTCTTGTCTTGAATATAATTATATTGAGTTCGTCTGGTTACTAAGCGAAAAATCATATGTCAAAAGAGATTTTCTTTTTTTGTCTACGATAGCGAAATTAATGATATTGATGATCTGTTGTGTATTGGTTTTTCTTGATTTTTGACGTCAATTCATATTATAAACAACAAAAGAAGCAATAGACTATTTAGAACGCATTGTTTGTATTCTAGCCTACATATATGTACAACTTTCCTACTATTAGTAGTAGTAAAACGATGAATCAAAACCTAATGATGATACATATGAAATTGCTTTTTTTTTTTTATTTTTTATTTTTTTTTTACTACAAAGCCCAACTTGCTACATCACATGCTTGAATATTCGTCATATTCTGAAGTTCTTTATTAAGATTGTTCTTTATTATAGATGTTGATTGTTGCAAATAATTTCCAATATAAAACATTATAAGCCGATCAAATCCCCAGAATTTCGCCCGAGCAAGAAGAATATTAGAAATAGAAAAAAGATTAATGCTATCAATTGGTATATGCACTCGAAGAATATGAAGTAATTTAGTAGGTGACCATATAGCAAGTGTACGATCATATGATGATGAAAATAATCGATTTGTATTTATATCAAATTTAAGATCAGTGATCTAAACGAAAATCATTATAATAATAAAATAAATAAATTTTTTCTAAATACAATTTTATCTTTAGTTTTCTTTATTGTTTTGTTTTTAATTATTCTCGATATATTAAATAACAATAAATTTCTATTTTTGTTTTCTTTTTTGTTTTGTTGACATTTCAAACGGAAAGAGAAACTTGAAAAAAATATTTCAATCAAAATTCTATTTCCTTTAGTCATCTTATTAGAAAAAGGAAAAAAAAGACTAATTTCCTTTGAGGATTTCACTAATGAGATATAATTATCTTTTATTACCGTATCCATATGAATTAATTCTAAGACATTATGAGAATATTTATCTGTCAAATACCAAATAACAATCGATCCATCATCACCCCCTGATGCTATACATGAATCATTCGGTGATTGTACAGCCAAGCTTGTTATGTTAATTGATAGACTAGATTTTTCTGTTGTTTTTTCATACATTGCAAGAGTATGACGCATCCAACAATGATAATCTGAGCGTATATCAAGTTCAGCTAAATTTGATGGAAGACGAACATACAATATTGTTCCTTGATATGCTAACCAAAGTACCGATCGAGCATATGAAAATGCATAAGTTGTAAAACCAGTAATTTTACCACTCGCAGCTAATTTTGATTTAATATAAGTAATTGGTTCTTTAATAGGTGAAATTGTAAATTTATTATCACAAGTAAAAATCCGAAAATCATTAAGATCAGGATTATTTTCAAGATTTAATGATTGTTTAAGAATAAGAAAACGATTATTTGGTGTAAATTCAAGTGAATATTGAATATTACGAATTGAAGTAGGAAAAATTTCTTCAGATTGAATTTTAAATATATTTTCAATATCATAAAATTTTATTTGTAAAATTATAAATTGATTCATAAACATAAATATAATTATATTTGAATGATATGTTTTTAATGAAAATAAATTTGATTGTGATTTTATTTTAAGATTATATTGAAAAACTGATTGATTGAGATTATTTATTGAATAAATATTAACCATATATTCACCGGTAATAATAACATAATATTGATCATCATTGAACATAGTTATATATTCAACATTCATGTTATCAAATGCATGTAATAATTGTGGAGGTGAAAATTGATTATTCGAAAAAGAAATTACTAATGGACAATTCAAATCATATTCACATGCAGTAATACTTGTATTACTCATCTAAAGACAATAAAAAAAAAAACAGAAATAAATAGAAATTTTAAAAACAATGTATAACTATTTATAATACATTGTAATTTTTAATTCGAGTAAACAATCCTTTTGGTTGTAAACTTGATTGTGATAATTGATTTGTATCAAGTAATTGTATTGTTTCATCATCAAGTAAAATTAAAACATATGTTTTTTTCTTTTCATCATTATCCATAATTGTTGTTGTTTGAATTAATTGAATATATTCAACATTTGAACGAAATTCAATTTTCATTGGATTTAATGATGATGAAAAATTTTTTTCTTCACGATATATTTTTATAAATTGTTGACTTGAATCAATTGTTATTAATATTTGATTATGATCATCTTGATTAATCATATTCCAACTAAAAAGTTCTTTATTTATATTAATTGTTTGTAAAATTTCTGAAAGATTTTTTCGATCAAATAAAGTTATGTGTTCTGCTGTTGATATAGCAATTTTATCATCAGATAAACAAACTAAACGATCTAATTGTTGATTTTGTAAAATAGTCACTTGTTGAATCGTGTCATCACTAGATAAACTTAGTACTTTAGTTTTAATTTTTATTTCAAGAAGATTTAATATTCGAATATCTCCATTAACACTAGCAAGATATAAATTTTCATTATTATTTGATGGTAAATCAAATAGACTAGGAGATGATTCATTATTATAAATAAAAGCAAAACGCATTGGTAATATCTCAATATGTTCATTCAATGACCAAAGTGTGATAAGAACATAATTATTTTCATCAAATATAAGACAAAGAACATAATCATCATTAGCACCAATACATCGAAGACAAACATCAACGTTTGTACTATTTTCTATTTGAAATGATGGATTTTTTATTGGTATGCGACCACTCTAAAATATTGAAAACTATAATAACAAAGAAAAACAATAAAATCTTTAAAAATAATTTCGCTTCAATTGTGTTTTATTCAACTAATTCTAATTATTATTGCTCGAGTGCTTTTGTTTTTGTCATCTCCAAATTCTTTTTTAAAATCAGATTCTTTTTGCACATTCGAACAGAATCATACTTCAATATTATTGATTGTGATAACCTTATAAATGTACCTGTAAACAATTTGTCTTGCAGTTAATTTTCATAAAAACATAAACTCATACTTGTTATTATGACAATCAGAATCATTAATAAAGATGAATACTCTTTGAGAAAAAAAATGAAGCATGGTTCGTTTCATTTTCATTCATCTGCTTCTTTTATTTAATCAATAAACATATAGAGTATTTGAAATATATGAATACTGAAAATGCTTGAACACATACTCGATAAATTGCGTCCTCATCAACTTCGTCCAATGCTATAACACGCCATTCATTAGCCACCACTAATTGCCTGTAAAATAAGTCTATTAAGTTCACAATACTACTGAAATAATAGAATCGTATATGTTTGGTATAAGACGAATGTTAATTTAATTTACAAACTGAATAAAAATAACATTATGGTTATTTAACAAAAAAAAAACTCTTGACTTCTAAGATTTTAATCCATAGTGCGAAATGTGTGTGCACAATTCTAAATAAGTTTCAATATTATGAAAGTCAAATTTTAACTGATTTTATAGTGAAAGAGTCATGTGAAATAAAATATAGATACATGCAAACATCTTATGATAGCACTTATTTTTGAAACAATGAAAACCTATGAATATTGAATCTGACAAATGAAAGAGATTATGTTAGATACAATGGACGATTTAGTATTTTGTAAAATTTCAAAAACTATCGAGACTCATTTGGTTTGTGTTTTCGTTTTTTTTTTTCATTGTTTATTTCGGAGAAGATTTTTACTTTTTTGTATGATTTCAGATAGATATTAGTATTTGTTTGCACACAATTGATATTGATTGTTATTCTATGTTTTTATTTTATGAATTTGAGTAGGTTGATGATTCTATCTAACATCAGAGTTCAAGTGAATTTGACAATAAATAGAACCATGTATTATTTAAAGTATAAACTTCTAAATGAAAACTTGATGAATGTTGGTTAATGAATTTTCCTTTTTTCTGTATAATTAGACTTCTCTTATTCTATACATTCTTTTCTCGAACAACAATACTAACAAATATGTCTTTTTCTTTAAACTAACTTACTCTTCATTACTTGTTATACAATAAGCTTTATTACAAAATGATTTATTATCCCATGATAATGCTCTTTCATTTAACATATCACCTGTTCGACTATTAAATGATTGTACTGTACGACTTCCAAATAAATATATTTTATTTCCATTTTTCGTTATATAACCATTCCAAATTTTATCAAAATTATCATCTAAATATATTTTATCGACCTAAAAATAACAAAAAATGTTTTATTCTTCGATTTAAAAAAATTTCTTTGTTTGATTTTTTTGTTTTACTTTTCCTGTTTGTAAATTAATCATAGCAACTGTAGACGTTTCAATAAAATGAGTTTCATCTTCATTTTGTATTCCATCAAGAATAACAAGTGCATAAAATTCATTAGTATATAAAACATGTGTTACAGGTGAAAAACTCCATGCTAATGCACCAGTTGCTTGTGGAAAACCAGCATATAATGAACAAAATGCATTTTCATGTTCAATACAATATTTTCGACAATCAAGAAGAAGTTTTTCAAGATCATTATTAGTATTCAATGGATTACTATCATCATATAATTGACTTGTTTGATAATCATCAATAAAACCAAGTATTTGTTCTGCAAGTATTAATGATACATCTGAATCTTTTATAAGTTCATCATCAATTGACCATATAGCATGATAAAGACGTTTTAAATCAAACCAATTTGGTCTTAAACGTAAACAATATCGTATTGTATCAAGAAATATTGTATGACCAAGACTTTTTAATTGACATGAAAGAAAAGTTAAATTAAATAAACATATTGATCGTAATAGATGATCTTTTTCAACACCAAATTCTAAACAATGATATGGTAATGATATTAATTTTCTTTTATTAAGTATATTTGTTATTTGTGTATTAATTAAACGATCAGCATCATATATTATTTTATTATTTCGTTTTTTTAATGTTATTGTACGTTTATATGATGTTTGATCATTACAATAAATTTCAATAAGATGTTCATGACATTGTTCACGTAAATGTTTATAACGTTTTCTTGTTGATTCCGAAAATTTTCTATGATAAAATGATAGAATATGTTTATTATGTATATGTTTTTGACTTATATATTCTTTTATTGAATAATGAAATGATTGACAAAGAAGTGATGGTACATGTATTGCATTTGGTATTGGTGGATCATGATGAGAATAAATTTCATTTAAAACAACGTCATTTATTGATAAACAATCTTCTAATTCATTTTCTGATATACCATTTAAACTATAAACTAAATAAGCAAGTGAATATTGTACGAATTCTTTACCATGACGATTTTCTAAACGTGCAAATAATTGTTCAATAGCATCTTCAATTGTTTCCGGTAATGAAAGAGTTATTTGTAATGATTGTGTTTGAAAACATGTCCATCGTCTAGCAATATCAATTAATAATTTTAAATATAAAGGTTTAGGATTTTGTTCTACAGTTGCTAATAAATATATATATTGTTCAGATGTTAATTGTCGATTATATGATTGTAAAGAATTTCGAATTATATTTTCACATTCATTTGGGTGAAGACGTGGTACTGTAAATAATGTTGAGTCATCATTTCGTATAAATTGTAAAAATAAATCTTTTAAATTAAAACGTTCAATTGTAGGGATAAATGATATAAATATATGAACATCACGTGGTAAATAACGTAATAACCATGAATCAAATTGAAATGAATGTTTCGATGTATCTTCAAGTTGATCAATAGCATCTAATAAAATAAATAATGGTTTTGGTCGAGATTTTTTTTTAACAAGACTTTTTAAATGTCTTTTTGATACTGATTTTAATCGTTCATGAAATATTCGAACAAGTGATGAAAATGTTAAAGAATTATCATCATCATCATCCTTATCATCATTTCCGTATAAAAATTTCAATTGTTCGCATAAGGAACGTATAATTAATTCAATACTTGTTGATGGTGCTGATGTACCCAAAAATCGTATGCATATAGCACTTGTTGGATACCATATACGTAATTCTTTTGCTAAACGTGCCATAAATGATGTTTTTCCACTACCTGATTCAGCAACAAAAGCAATTGGTGTTGAAATATTTCGATGACTTAATTCAATACGTGCATGAACATTAGTTAAAAGTTCTTCTCTGCCAAAGAAAAATTTTGTTTTTTCTTGAGAAAATATTGCATGATGAAGAAGATCTTCATGAAATGTTGAAAGAGTTTTATTTAACATTGTACGACAACTATTATCAATTAATTCCATTATAGTCGATGTTAAAAAAGTACACAATTCATCGATATATTGTCGATGAGATGGTTCATTTGTTATATTTAAACCACCAGATTTCTGAAAAATTAACAATATTTAATATATTGAGTCTTTTTTTCAATTTACCCATGGTACAAGAAATTTTTTAAATTGTTTTGCTGGTGTTACTTTAGCACAATATGTTTTTAATTGATCTATTGAATTAGTTATACGTTCATTTTTTGTTGAATCTATAAAAAATAAAGTTATCTTTCTAATAAAAGATATATGTTTTTATTGACAACCAAAAAATTTTGCATCTATGGCTGTTTCAACAACTGGATTTGAGAAATCACGAACGATACCAATAACATTCGAACGATTTTTTTCTATTGTTCCTCGACGTATTTCTCTTTCAGTAACTACAAAACAAAAACAAACGGTATGTGTAAAATGTAGAAATTAAATTCATTATAAAAAGAATATGACTTGATTGAAAATAATTCATCATTTGTTGATTAGATAATTTTTTCTTTTGAAATGCTTTATCAACAGATTCTCGTAATGCTTTTAATAAAGATTTTTCTTCAATTTGCCATTGTTTTTTTTCTTCTTGTTGTTCAATTGATTGTTCTTCAAAATGTTTAAAATAAGTTGTAATTGGCTATGAAAACAAAAACAACATATTTAATTGAGACTTTACTTGTTTTTAAACAAACAATATTATAGATCATTAACTTACAACATAAACATACTTCAATGGATAAGAATTTTTATCAAGTTGAAACCATTTTTGAATAAGATCGATATTAGCTATATTTTCTTCATGTGCAACTTCAAGAATTGTTTCAAATTCATCTTCATCAATTTCAACTGGACAATACATATAACCATAACGATTACCAATTAAATAAATAAAATTAAGACCAGCTGATAAGTCAATACATCGATCAATTTCATCGATACATATTATATCAGCTGTATGATCACTATCAGCTGTATCTGAAACACCCCATCTATAATAAAAGATTTTAATGTTATTTAACAAAAAGAATCATCTAAGAATTGTTATACCTCATGTCAACAACTTGAAATTCATAACCAAGTTGTGCACATCTTTGTTTAATTGATGGAAATACTCGTCGATAAAGTTCATTTCTTTCAATTTTAAAATCCGAAAAAGTTGAACTAATAAAAATTCTGAACAGACGTGATGTTTGCTTAGAAAAATTTTGTGTAAAATCTCCAGTAACTAATCGATTAAATTCTGATGTATTTGCTGTAATTGGTTTTAATTGTTGTTGTTCATTTAAAGAAACAGGAGGAATTTTTTTTGTTAAATTAATAGTTTTTTTCTCTTCATTTCGACCAGCTATTGGTTTTAGTTTCACCAGGGTTTTGGCTTTTGTTGCCATAATTTGTTAAGACGAAAAAAGGTCCTTGATTAATAAAATTCAGAAAAACAAACGTATGCCATTCACATTCATGATTACTTGACAACGACCTCTACATTGATTATTAGTCAAATATTTACAAAATAAAGATGAAAAACATATTCTTGTCTTAACTCATTCTTCATTGCAATTAATTAATTAGAAACTAAAAAATATTGAAAATTGATATCTCCGAATAAATGCATTAAAAAAATTTATAACTATAAGAACAATCGCAGTTTTTATATAGCATTTATTTATTATTTATATTTGATGTTTCTTAGTCTTCTTGTCTGCTGTTTGTCGGTTGAATGTCTCACTTTCAGTACTGCTTCTATATGAAATCCTTTGCCACGTAGAAAACTTCTTTTTTTTTTTTCGTTCTGCTTTTTTTCCTTTTTTAACCTTCATTTTTATTATACTTACATGATATGCTTCATATTTCATTCATTCATTCATGTGTGAATAGAAGTATTGAATTATTCGTATTTTTCATAGATGATTGTGACAACATTATTTATCAGTTTTTTAATTAGTACTTTTTTTATTCAACCAATTCTCCCATTCTACATTCCGGGTGTCGCTCCACTTGATTTTACAAAAGGCGAAAATGTTGAAGTTAAAGTAATCTTTTTCTAACGAGAAAAAAAATATAAATAAATTAAATTAATCTAAATCTATCTTCAGGCTGTTAAAATGACTAGTACAAAAACTCAGTTACCATATGATTATTACGATATAGCTATTCATTGTAAACCGTCAAACGGTACAATATATAAATCCGAAAACCTTGGTAACAAAAAAAATTAAGAAAACAAAATCTTTTACATAAAGCAATTTGTTTAGGTGAAATTCTTCGTGGTGATCGTATTGTTAATACGAAATTCAAAGTAAAACAAAAAAAAAATGAAAATTATTTATTAACAATAAATTCTAAAATATCAACTAGGTTGGCATGGATACAAATGTTCAGTGTCAGACACTTTGTAAAGATATCTATTTAACACAGGAACAAAGTAAAACACTTGGAAAACGTATTCGAAATAATTATTATATTCATCTGTAAGATAAAAAAAAAGATGTAATTTTCTTTTTCTGATTGTTGTTATTTTCTTTTAAGTCTCATTGATAATCTTCCATGTGCAACTAAATTTCAAAATGTTGATACACATGAAACATTTTATGAACATGGTTATCGTTTAGGAATTTATACAAAAGAACCTGAAGTGATGTATGTAAATAATCATTTAATTATGCGATTACATTATCATAAAGAATCTGAGTATGAATATGAATTTTGATAATATTTTCATTTAATTCTTTTTTTGTCTTTGAAGAGATTTATATCGTGTTGTTGGATTTGAAGTTGAACCAAAAAGTATTGACTCAAAACGTATTAAAGTGGAAGATGATGATTCATGTACAATTCAAGCTGGTCAAGATATGCAAAAACTTTATCCAAAAGGTTAGATTATTATGAAAATAAACATTTTATTTTAACGAAGAGAAAAATCTTTTTTTGTAGAAGAAAATAAAATAACAATGACTTATGAAGTTGAATGGGCACCAAGTGAAACGCGTTGGGCAAGTCGGTATGTTTATAATTATTTACACAAAGAACAAAGTTCAGAAAGAACTACAATATTATATTATTTTCGAGTTTCCTAGTATTTATCTAATCTTTCATTATAAAAGTTTTTTTCGCTCGTTACGTCCTTAATCGAAACAGTAAGCATTTCTTTTTTGTGAGCTCTCTTGACTATATTATCTCACTAATGAGAACATACCTGGAATGTCATTTTTACCCTTTTCTACTATCAATCACCTGTCTCATGTGTAATATGACTTATTACACTTCACCTATGAATCCACTAATGTATGTATGAAAAACATGATGACATCATGATATGAGTTTAGTTTGCAAGTAAACAGTGAAATTAATTATTGTAATAGAATGAAAACTAATAGGGGAAAGAAAAACAAACATATTGAATGATTTTTGAAAAATCTTTTCAATTCAAATCATTTAGACGAAATTAGACATCTCAGAAGCTTTCCTTCATTTAACGAGAAAACGAATCATTAATATACAATTAAGCCAGTTATCTTACAAATATTAATGTGTTAATGCAACCTCACTCTAAATAAATAGATTTATAGTTAATCCTAAAAGAAGTTGGCTTTTGTATTACGAGGAAAGGCTTCCAAGTGATGACTCTCCATTTTCAATCGACTTTATGCTAGTCTGTAGAGTTTGATGAACTGATCACAATAGTATAATATGTTCTTCCTCACGTACTGTCTCTGAGAAGTTAAGTCAATCTCAACTTAAAAAAATAACAGCTTATAGTCATATTTTTTTCAAAGTTGAGATCGACTTAACTTCGCAAACATAGCCTTTGAGGAAGATCACATTATATAATCGTGATCAACTCATCAGTTAGAATATGTATTTAGGTGAAGCGAAGACTAGAACTAATATCCATACTCACACATCACACTTCTTGTGTCAAAAATAAAGAATATCTTGTTAGTTGAAATTTTCGATATTTTTCTTTTCGACCTTTCTACAACACACTAATTCATCGAGCTCTACAAACTGGCATAAACCTAATTGAAAATGAAGACGCACACTTGGAGATCTTTCCTTATTAGTACAATATCTATGTGAATTATTTTCTATGAATTTACTCATTCTTAGTTGGGATACGTATTTGGCAATGACTGATGTTCAAATTCATTGGTTTTCAATAATAAATTCTGTTATTGTTGTCTTCTTTCTTGCTGGTATACTTTCAATGATTATTGTTAAAACACTTCGTCGAGATATTGCACGATACAATCAAGAAGACACAGTTAGATTTTTTTGTTGCTATAAAAATTCAATAGAAATAAAAAGATTCTTTTATTTAGGATGATGTTACTGAAGAAACTGGATGGAAATTGTTAGTTTAATATGAATATGTAGTCTTTTTTTTCTAGTTGAATATTTTGTTGTAAATTATAGAGTACATGGTGATGTATTTCGACCACCACATCGTAAGAATGTTCTTGCAGCTCTAATTGGTTCAGGTGTTCAACTTTTTCTCATGTCATTTATTGTTATTGGTTTGTGTTTTTTTTTTAATAAGAATTAATTTTCTTAAAATAATTTATTTTGATTATTTTAGTTTTTGCTGCACTTGGAATGCTTTCACCATCATCACGTGGTGCATTAATTAGTGCTGCTTGTTTTCTTTATGTATTTATGGGGTAAGAAAATATAAATTGATTTAATAGATTTTATTTTGTAATATTTTTTGAATTAGTCTAATTGCTGGTTTTTATTCTGGTCGAATATATAAAACAATAAAAGGCTCAAATTGGAAACAAACAGCAGGATTAGTATGAAAATATCATCTTTGTTTCTATTAAATTGATTTATTTAATTTTGTTTATTCATTTGTTTTTTTTTTATTAGACTGCTACACTGTATCCATCAGTGGTTTGTGGTGTTTGTCTTATTTTAAACTTTTTTATTTGGGGAAAACGTTCATCGGGTGCTGTTCCATTTTCAACAATGCTTGCTATATTAACTATGTGGTTAGGAATTTCATTTCCACTTGTTTGTCTTGGCTTTTATTTTGGTTATCGTAAACATGTAAGTGTTAAAAATGTGAAGAAAAAAAATTGATGATTAAATGAGAATTCTTTTAGCCATATGATCATCCTGTTCGAACGAATCAAATTCCAAGACAAGTACCAGAACAACAATGGTTTATGCATCCTGTTTTAAGGTAAATAAAAGAAATGGTTTCGTTTAATTTTTCATTATCTATCTCTTTTTTTTTTCTTGTTTAGTACTTTAATTGCTGGTAAGTAATTGATGATAAGAAGAAAACAAAACTGATAATATTATTTATTAGGTGTACTTCCATTTGGAGCTATGTTTATTGAGTTATTCTTTATTTTTTCGGTAAGTAAGAAAAAAGAATTTTTTAATCTGATTTGAAAACAGTTCTTTTTGATCTTTTTTAGGCTATTTGGGAAAATCAATATTATTATTTATTCGGTTTTCTTTTTCTTGTATTTATTATTATAATTAGTACGTTACAAAAATGATCAAATTTTGAATATGTATTGTGCTTTTTCGTTTAGTTTCTTGTTCACAAATCTCGATAGTTATAACTTATTTTCAATTATGCGGAGAAGACTATCATTGGTGGTGGAGATCATTTATTGCATCTGGAGGTTCAGCATTCTATGTATTTACTTATTCAATCTTTTATCTCTTTTCCAAAGTAAATATCTTTATTCTTGACACAACCACTTGAAGTCCTCGTTAAAGTTCATCGAGTTGATCCCAAGTTCGAAAACTTTGGAGCCAACAGGCTCTAGTGTGCTCAGCTTCCAGCCAATTTCACCACACTGTTATAAATACATAATATTATATGTAAATCATTCATCTTCCAGATATGCTGATAATATCTACTTATTACGCTGAACTATTATTTATGTGAACGCTTGTTGATTACATGAAATTCACGCGGACCCCAGCATGAGATTCAATGTTACATTATGCATTCATAACATTTTATCGTACGATGTCCTTTTAGGGATGCGTCCAGGACGCTTGTCACATTAAATTGATAACATCAGTCTATCATACACAAACTTTCTTTCTATGTAAAACAATTCACAGTATATGTGAATATTGAATAGTGATGCATGATTGCAAAAGCTTCGAAAATAGAGGATGATCAGATTATGAAAGAAAAATTAGATTAATATAGTTCAAACGACTTGACTATTGATTCTTTTTATAATCAATTCTGCACATGTCCATGATAAACTAGTAACAACTATGTGTGTTATATTTATTTTATTAATTGAAGTCCGTACGAATAACAAGTGGTAGTTCTGAAGGTGGTCGTGTTAGGATGAAATTTTCCTTGTTTTTCCAATAAATAAATATTTTTCTTCTTTAGCTTGATATAACCGAA